TGATCCGGAGCTCTGGATCGGGATGTGCGCTCGCCCTTGTTCCGGACCTTTCATATTATTGAGCGGTAGCCATAGATACAAACGTATTCTGGGAAACACACACTCTCATGGTTCTTTCATGCTGTTGCCCTGTTTGGAGCACCCCTGATAGTGCCTGTGCCCGGTCCGGCCCAAACTCCAGCCTGAGTTGGCCAACTATGCAGTAGGCCTCTAATGCGTGTAGGACTGCAACCTGTAAGCATGCCTGGGGCTCTATGGAAAGGAATGGGCGGTTGGTGTATCCACAGTAGAGATGCCTTACTCCCCTGCTTGCAGCAAGTACGAAAGCACTGGAGTCTGTCATGCGAAAATTGTTCATGAAAGCTTGAACACGTAGACAAAAATTGAATTACTGCCCCCAACTACAAACTGAAGAATCTACTGCGCTCTCATGACAAGGGCAGGACCGGGCAGGACTTGTTTTTCAATGTAAGGATGCGACGAAGCTGCAATTGCCGAAGGCCGGAGTGCCTTAAAGAGGGACTTGCATAGTCAGATCGAGGGGCAGGGCCAGAGATTTAAGGTTTACGACTTACGCAGCCAACCAAAGTAAGGTGTCATGAAATTTCCGCATCTTTCTTATGAAAATTCCAAGTCTTTTCCTTGGTAAGGCAAGCCCTACTCTGAAACACTATGGCTCTATGTACACCTGCATCATGTGTTGCTAGTCTGAATAGAAGCTATGAGCAGCTAGCATTGATGTTGATAACGTTGTATGTCAAACCTCAGCATCTCTATGCACCTGGATATTGAGAGTATTACATTTGTGCAGCTGGCGAAACTGGTGTAACTGTATGGAGAGCAAGTCGATTTGAATTATGATCGCTTTTGGGTCCCGGTATATTCCAGCCCCGAATGTTTAGGGTACTTGTACACGAAAAACGAGCAGAATTTAGATAACCGTCCGCATGTTCATGTTACAATTTTAGAATCCAACTAGAGAATCCTCGTGTCCATTTCATGTTCCATTTCTTGTCCATTTGATTCTCCATTATGGGGGGGTTAATGTGCCCTATAGTTATACCCCTGATCCTCAACCCCAACCCCTCAATAGTAGCTTCCATTTTCTTTTCAACCATTACCCCTACATTACCCAGTACACCCTATTCCGGTAAACCCAGTGACCCAAGGAGGTCAGCTCCCGTTTCATGTTCCATGTTCTTTTGCATGTGATTCTCCATTGTAGGGAGATGTGGGGGGTAGTATTCCCATGATCCCCATACCGTCCATTTAGGATGGACAAAGGGGTCCCCCCTGTTGTTTTTATATTCCTTAATCAGGAATTCATGTTCATTGATTATATGGGGATTTTTTTTGTAGCTCACCATGCCGAAAGGAGGACTCTTCCCTAAAACCTAAACCCCAAAACTCTAAACCCTAAACCCCAAAAACTCAAAACCACCAAAACCCCCCAAAACCCTTTACCCCAAACATCCTAAACCGCAACACCCCAAACCCCCAAAACCGCTCCCAGGTCCCAGGCTTGCTCTTCCCAAGAACTGCTCCTGCCCACATGCAAGCAAGGCTATCCTGACATGAGCTACAATCTAAACTCCTGAAAGGGGGGGTGAATTGAGGGGATTATGCAGTTAGGGTTTAGGGTTAGGGTTTAAGGGGGGTTATGTAGGGGATTATGTAGGGATAATGGAAAAGAAAATGGAAGCTACACTTTAGGGTTTAGGGTCTAAACTCCTTAAAGGGGGTTATAAAGGGGACTACTAAAGGGCGTTTAGAATAGTTTAGACAATGGCTCGAACAGGGAGGTTGCAATTTCTTGTATACCCCCCGATACTGCAATCCCAATTGTAGGAACCCCAAAGAAGGATCACAAATTATTGGAAACCCCCGCTTGGGAAGGCTTCACCACTTACAGCAATCAACTTGGGAACTTCATCGAGGTCCTTGCGGCCAGGCTCTTGCAGACACGGAAGATCTTTTCGCAGTAGGTAGTCCTGAGGCGAGGCAAGCTGTGCTTTTGGGCTCGCTGTGCCGCATGCCCAAGCTTGAGAATCTCGTTATCATGGCTTTCGTGGGGGATCCTTGAAGTGAGGATTGCGGGATCAGAGTAGCACCGGAGCACCGCAACTAAACGCAGTGCTGAGAAAAGCTTTCGCCAGGAGCTAGGGCTGTGACAACCAAGGTGATGCACGCCAACTTATCGAAAGCCTAGGTCCACAGGCGCCAACCGATGACAATTCAGGAGGCTGCTGGCAAAGGAGCCTGAACATATGGTATGCCTAGGTCTCAGCGCAAGGGTTGACCAGGATCCTTCATTGAATCGCTCGCAAACAACGACATTGGCAACATTCACAAACAGCATCAAACAGGCGACAGGCAACTGACTGTAGGCAGCGGCTATCCTACAGGATGTTCTTGCCTACGTGAACAAATCCCAAACGATGATGTGATTCAGGAACCTAGCATGGCACATACCCAGCTGACTTGGAATCATCAGTTTGCGCAGTTGGCCCTGCAACTTCTGCCTAGTTGATCAGCTCCCTGCGCCCTGTGCTGCGTACATGATCCCCCCGTCCGAGATTCCCTGATATTCCCTGCATGTCCTGCCAATCCTGTATATCCAGCCCTGGGTGTCGTGCTCCTTTGGCCTTCAGCTGCGTGCGGTAGTCGCGCACGGACACTTCTTCAGCATTGGGCAGGCCTTCGAAACACGATGCTGGAGTCACAGGCTCCAGAGCATGTAGGAATGCAAAAGGGCAATTTGGGGGATACTCTCGGACTGTTACAGCGGCGATGGCATAAGTTGCCTTGTTTGCCAGGCTCCCGTGGGCAATTCACACAGAATTCTGAGGTGGGCTTCAGATTGCAGTGCCGCGCACTCAAGTTCCCGAAGCGACTGACACGCATCTGAAGCGCACATCCGCATTGCACCAGTGATTCAGAGACTATCGTGTGCGGTGAGAACTCAGAGACTCGGGAATTGAGGAGCCAGCAGGGATGTCTGTCCAATTCGAAGCCCGCCTCATATCTGATACAGCATGACGTTGGCTACTCAGGGGACACGCTTCTTGAACATCTTTTTCGCTTGTCCAACACCTACGTCCTTCTAGCCCCTCCAGCTAGCGCCAGCTGGACACAAAGTGGTAGCCTGCCACCCCCAAATCAACATCTCACACCCACTGTTGTGATGCGTAATTTCTGGTGTCAACTGGAAGCCCCACCGTGCCTTCTCGGCATACTTGAAGCTCTTGACTTTGGCCTTATGACAGCTGCCGAGCAAGACTTCACGCACTTCACGCTGCCTCTGGTGCCTCGAATTCACAAGACCCTCTAGCACACTCTCGTTTATCATAATGAGGGAGTCAAATGAAGAAGTACTTTTAACATGCTTCTGGCCTGGCCAGGGCCTCTTGCTGACAAACTCTTTCTTCAGCGTTGCGCAACACATGCACAACAATTTTCCTCAGCTGAGCGGGGCTCTCCCCATACCTGTGCTTCATACAAATGCCGTTTGTTGTTCCTGTCGTTTTCTTTGGGATTTTGGGCGCTGTTGTATGCTGTTGTTTTATTCGTCTTATCTTTTTTGAGCTCGCGGCAACATCCGGACGAATGTTGATGCTTGGCTAAATTCTTCAGAGGGGAGGTTGTCACACTGAGCAGCGGCTGGGTGCACGGGCATACGCTCTGGGGTCCAAGCTGTGATCAGCCCATAGCCGATGTAGCTGTGCCTGAGGGGACTGGGTGGTTCTGTTCACGTTCTTGGAAAAAAGTTCGCGATTGGTGGGCTGGCATGTTCTGCACAGCGCATGCGAATCTTCAGCGATTCGAACGCTGCTCTGCTTCTGGCCTGTAGACGTGGACATTGCCGCCTGAGGACAGATCTGTGTGGAGGAAGGGGGGTAGGAGGCCAGTCAGTCCATAAAATTCAGACTCTCAGTCTGCTTCCTCCGCGTCAATGACAGTAGAATCTGCTCACACCCGACTTACGATTCCCGCTGGGATTCCGGCTTCCAAAAGGCAAGTTGATCCTCTGGACGTACACATCCAACAGCTGCCTCAAAGTCGCAAGCTGTCCACGAGGATTCTGAAGGATTGCTGGGACCGTCACCGCTTTGCTCTGGAGACATCCTCGTCTGCAAGGTAGTACGCCATCCTCAGCGCTCATGACTCGACTCTACCAAAGCAAGACTGAAGTTGTGTCACCAGGCAGAGTCAGCCGTACTGCACTGCCCCTTCCGAGCAACTTCATGAAGCCAGTCTAAACCCTGCTGTGTATGTGGCCTCCACGAGAAAATCAACCCTATATAAACCTGTATTGCGACATGTGGGCCAAGCCGCAGCAACATTGTACTGGTACTGTGGACTGACTGATGCTAAGAACCAAGGTGGTATCAAAGTTCATCTGATCATCACACTCTACTCGGCTGAGGAGCTGAAGCGTAGCCCCCCCAAGGTCCATCACCGCCACTGGATCCCGAACCTGACTCATTGGCTTTCAGGCTTGAAAGGAAAAATGGACACTGCGGGTTCGATGGCCCTCCCTTGGCTGTTGCTCCAAGAAATGACCCATTCACAGCTTGCAGACCAATGCCTGGCATCTGCTTGCTGCTCCTTGATTTTACTGCTGCTGTCACCACCTTTGCGCGGGTCACCCCAAGTCACGATCGACTCATCATTCAGGATTGCGGCAAAAGCATATGCGTTGGCCTGGATCTGCAACACACTCTTGAGCTGGTCTTGGACAGCGCTGCTGTCACCACCATAGTCAGCTCCACCCCATGTCACAACAGACCCGTCATCTAAAATGGCCGCGAAGGCCCCGGAAGTGGCCTGAATCTGCTGCACACCCTTCAGTTGTTCTTGAACCGCGCTGCTGTCACCGCCATAGTCATCGTTACCCCACGTCACGACGGATTCGTCTTCGAGGATGGCGGCAAATGCGAAGGCGCTAGCTTGGATCTCCTTCACGTCCTTACGGTCGCCCCGTATAGCGTCCAAACCCAGCATGTCAACTTCGCCCCATGTCACAGTCGAGCTGTCAGCCAAGATGGCAGCAAACCCAACCCTGGCGGCCTGGATGTGCCGCACAGGCTGAAGTTTCTCAAAACCGCTGCTGTCGCCGCCACAAACATCATCACCCCATGATACAACAGAACCGTTGCTCAAAATGGCAACAAAAGCTACTGCATTGCTTTGGACGTGTTGCACGTTCTTCAGCTGCCCTTGCACGGAGTGACTCAGTCCACCGCATTCAGAATCTCCCCATGTCACGACGCATCCGTCGCTTAAGATAGCAGCGAAAGCTGCCCACCATCCAGCAATCTGCTTGACACCAATTAGCCGGTGTTGGACGGAGCTGCTGTCGCTACCGTAGGCAGCATCACCCCACGTCGCCACGGATTCATCCTCCAAGATGGCGGCGTACGCGCCATGCGTGGCCTGGATCTGCTGTACATTCTTCAACTTTGCCTGGACAATTCTACTGTCACCACCCTTGGAGGCATCACCCCATGTCACGACCGATCCATCGCCCAGGATGGCAGCAAAGGCACTGCCAGTGGATTGGACTTGCTGCGCTTGTTTTAGTTGCTCTTGAACAACGCTGCTGTCACCGCCATACAAATTATTACCCCATGTCACGACAGACCCGTCATCTAAGATGGCTGCAAAGGCAAAGTCGCTGGCTTGGATCTCCCGCACGTTCTTCAACCGCTCTCGGACAACGGTACTATCACCACCGAAGTCAGCAAGACCCCATATCGTAACAGATCCATCACCCAGGATAGCAGCAAAAGCAACACAACCAGCTGCTACACGGACTGGCGATGTGTAGAGCGTCAAACGATCTGTAGGTTTCAGCCCAGCTTCGCCAACTGTAAGATCTCTATCCAGGCAGGTGCCTGAAGGATGCAACAGTCGTCCTGGACCCACACGTAAATTTGTTTGCGCTTGCAAGGTTAAGGTATACAGAGAGGTGTCGGGCTGTACTTCAAGGCACGTGCTTGCCCCGCTCAGCAAACACACCTCGAGATGAAACGACATAGTGCCATGGCGAAAGACTATAATTAAAAGCTAAGCTGCAAGAACGCAAGTCTGAAGCTACATTGTGCGGACCAGTCATATTATATGCAAAGAGTAATGCTTGTCGGGTTTCTGAGGTGCTTCAGAATATTGGTGGCTGGCTTTTCTGGATATTTGTATCCACCACTGTCCGCAGGCTGGTCCTCCAGTCTCGTGGCCCCCAGGTTCCCAAAGCCTAGCTTGTTTCCCTTTTTCTGCCTTTGTCCGAATAGTCCTGTAGCACTCGCATGCAGTGAAACTAGTGTCCTGAAGAGTCACAACGAATGCAATCATCATTGCAAGTATTCTTGCTGATATGATCGGTCCCTTCCTTGTATGATCGCAAGCCTTGCTGCCCGTGTTCCTCTAAGAAAATTCTTGTTGAGTGTTTCAGATGAGTTTACTATCATGGATACTGCGTTACGATTGTTATCATTCTCAGTGGTATGAACGGCATTATTATGGTTGTTTCTAGAAGTCTTCTGCTTAGAACTACCCATACACTATAGTTGTGGGTATCATATTGTCCTTGTTATTAGTAATGTTTCTATTCGTCTAAATAATCTTGTGCCACTATTGTTTATTTTTTACCAACGCCTTTACCAATATTGCCTGGTTCTCCTTACTGCCAGTATTGTGTAGGGCTCCGAAGGATAGAGTGTCTTCTTAACGTGTGGCTCCGCTTCCATCTACTTCCGGAAACAACCCCTTCGAATTCTGCCAACGTTTCCGTTGTTGCCACACCTCAATGGTTTGCACATGGGCGCGGGTGCTAGACGCCCAACCCTTCGTAGCTTTCACCAACTGTGGCCCGACTTCCACCATGACCCCGGATGATTTTTGATGAGTCTTCAAATGTTAGCACAATCCACTAACGGTTTGTAAATGGAACGGGATGCCACCCGTCAACCTCCTAGCAACTTGAGACCGAACGCGTTGAGTGCATGGCCAATTTGTTTAAGAGTTTGCGAGAAACTGCACATTCTCATCCTCGTGCGTTTTGTGCGCCATTGCGGGGGGGTAGTTAGAGCGTCTTCATTCGACAGCATGCACTCACGTGGAGCATCCTCACAAGTTAGCTGCAAACCTCATCCTCTGACTCGAAATCCAGTGCTCGTATACAGCCTCCTGAAGCGTTTTCGCTCCAAAGCGAACTCTGGCATGGAGCGTCCTGACACTTTCGCGCGAAGTCGTGCTCTTGCATGGAATGTCGTCGCATTCTGACATGATAATTCCGAGTCATGTGAAACATTTCCACATTTTGACTCCACCGACTTGAAATTCAGCTCTGTGCGGAGGGTCGGCTCAAAATCTGGATAGCTCGTGGCGCGTCCCAACATTTGGACCAACAAATTCGGGCATCCTCATATTCAGGCGTCCGAAACACCAAACAAATGTAACAAGTCTGAAAACAATCCGCGAATTAATTCGGATCTCTCTTAAAATGAAGACGCTCTGATCTCCAAACATATGATTTTGACAGCTGTCTTGAAGTACTCCTTTCTGTATGCTCGGCTCGGAGAGCCGAAAGGGCTGCCGTACAAGGAAGCATGTCAGGTCTGCGAAAGTTGACGAGATCCCCTTTATAACTGAAAATCAAGGCGGGCCGTGTATATTGGGATGGCCATCAGCCGAAGGTTGGTGGCAGCTTCTGCAACCAGCTTCTATTCCACGGCTAGATGTTCTTGGTATTGGCTCCCTTTCAACTCAACCCACAGTAGCAAAACTAATGCCATAGTGAATCAACAAGGAAATCTAAAAACGATCAGTTCGGTAACATCCTGCTGTTAAGGTCCTTTGTCAAGGGGTCAGCGTGGGAGATTAAGTTTCGCAGACACACCTGCATTGTTGACACCCCCGTCGTAACTCTTAAGCAGTCGAGATAGCTCGCAGCATCGGCACGTATGCTAAGCCGGAGGTGCAAATCCCTGATGGGTCTGAAAACAAGTATGGTCCCCTTTCTAGCCTTGGACAAGAGGATTCCGAATCTCACCCTGCAACAAGGCAGCCCCTTTTACTTTGACACCCTCAAACCTTCCAGCCACTACACAACTTCCAGTTTACCTTGGCTGAGGGCTGAACTCCTTGCATGCCCGGCTTGAAAACGCTCATCAGCATGTTCACAGTCAGCCATTCCTGGACATTAAATGATCGCATATTCTGTATGTCAACATATGACTAAAGCACGGGTACCATGCTCTAGCAGGACTCCACTGCATTACTCAGCGTGCTTGTCAGAATTCGTCTACGGATTGCACAGACAATCTTCAACTAGGCAGACGTCGGCCCCGGTAAGGAAGCACAGAATAGGTTACGTAGTCCCATCACTGGCGTTGCCTGAGACACCTGACCACCATCCCATCATACTGTCGGCCCAAGCCTGGTCAGCATCCGGCATCTCCGGCCCTCCATAAAGTACGGTTGAGACGCCGGGTCCAGTCTCCAAACTGGGCCTTCAACCTTGAAACCCCGAACTCGCGTTGCGCCGGGCGTCGGCGGCTGCCTCGGTGTCGCCGGACATTGCCTGCACGCCACCGTCCTGCGAGGCTGCAAGCGGGAATTTGGGCGTTTGTGCTTCTTGCAGTGGGGCCAGAACTTTGCAACACATGAGCGGCACTCGTCTGCTCCTTGAAGCCAGTGAGGGACACCAGGTGCTTCAGCCCTTCCATAAGGTCCTGGACCTAGTCCAGCCAGGGGATTCCAAGACGCGGGGCTTTGGGCTCAGCTCGTCGAGCTGCAGAGCTCTGATTTTTCTGTCTTTCATCCTTATCTCACGAATTGCAAGCCATCTTGCTTCGGCCAAAAACAATACTCTCCAATAGAATCTAGCAAATCCCCATGAGCCACCCGCATTATCCCCTTTTCATCCCCATACATCCCCAGAGTCCCAAAGCATATCCATGGTCTGAGAACCCCTCAAATATAGGCATAGAAGCATCAGATTCCATCCCGCTCTCATTGACCGACTCAAAGCAATCGATCTGTATGTTCTTTTGCAGGCTACAGCCCATGGATCAAGACACATGGGACCATTGCACCTGCAAACCAATCATAAAAGCTCATGTGCACCTAGGCATCGATGATAGGGTTCGCAGTCCATGTGTACAGTCCAAGGCGACTCTGAAACCCCGAACTCAGCTGCCTGGTCCATGTCCAGCTGCTCCAAAGAGGTTGTGGCCCGCAAGGCCAGAGGTGTCACGCCTTCTCGGACCCACAAAACCATGGGACTCTAGGAGAAACATGTCTCATAGGGATTTGAGCTCCAGTGGGGGAAAGCAGGGCCAAGGATTTCAGCACAGTGAGGCTTCGGTGGGCAGAATTCCTGCTGGAGAAGGTGATAGCTTAAACCTTCTGCGCTCTGGGGGAAGATGTTACCCCTCGCATTTGGGCATTGCTGCTCTTACATTCATGAACAAAAATTATGTGCCATTCTGTGCAGTGTGTTTCTGAGTATGCTCCAAGGCCGCACTAATGGGTACAAATGAACACCACTCTGCGTTGTACTAAGGACTTCCAGAATTCGCATGATGACAGTCAGATTGGACATCATGGCAAACCAAGCCTGTCTTCAAAGTCGAAGCGCCCGACGGAAACATCAGGACGCATGGGGACACGAAGGGGACTGCAACAGTCCGTCTACCGGGTGACATGAGGGTGCTTTGGCGAAGCCTGCAGATTTAACAGAACACGGCGAAAACTGGATTATTGGAGTTCCCACCCACTGGCCATGTATCAAGCCCTAGGAAGAAGACGTTAGAATCATGCCATACGTAGCACCCCACAAGTGCTTATGACTTTTCAAAACAACTCTAATACAAAAGACAACGAAACTTCAACTTGCACAACGGGAATCCAACAAAATCTTGCAGCACGGACCACTTAGGGAAATCTGGCAACCCCCAACCCCCAGAGCAGGAGGCCTTTTGCAGTCCGTTGGTGTTCTTCGGGTCCGTGCTTGAAAAACGAGGTTTTCAGCAATGCTCAATCCAAACCCTGAATAGTAGTTGCCTTTTTCTCTTCCATTATATATAACCCCTCTATACTATAGTAGTTGCCATCTTATTTTCCATTCCATTATCCTTCACTTCAAGCGCTACAACCCGAACTATGTAGTGCGCCTCTTTGTGCATGGGGAACTGCAGCAACCGCCACCTCCAGGAGCCTTCAAAAGGGCTTCTCAACTGGTGGTAGTCTTGTAGACTCAATGGTGATGAAAGGGGCCCCTCTTCAGGATCAATCGTTTGCAGAAGCCCTACTTGTTGGGCTCCCTGCCTAAATCCACTTCTGTCAGAGTGGCTAAGTTTGCCGCCCGTCAGCCTCAAAACTAACTTGCAATGCGCGAAACGACAGCTTCGCCCAAAAGGAGACTACGACTGTATCTCAGAAGTCGCTTTGTGCAATACTGACACACGCTCGAGAAAACTGTGAGGCGCCTTTCCATCTGCTGTTGCAAGGCACCTCAAGATTTGTTTAGGAATTGGACGGTGCTGGCGTGTCCTGCCTGCAGCATGTAAGCCTGTGGCCAGATTTGTAGTGACAAGGCCTACTGCACGACCCATACAACCGTGCAGAAAGGCACAGCTGCCCTGACATGGCCAAGCCCCAGGCTGCTGTTCTCGAAGAGGTCACTGATGCCAGGCTCCTCCTCTATAAACACCTGGGGTTATATAGGGATAATGGAAAAGAAAATGGAAGCTACTATATTATAATAGGATATATATTCGGGCTATATTCTGTCTGCGTGGCAGATCTGCTCTGAAAGAAACTGGTCCGAGCATGATACTCGGGTGTGGCAATTAGCTCAACCTCATGCTCCACAGGATAACAGGAGACATACCAGTCGGATAGTCGGCAAGGAGGACAGTGCCCATCAAATTGTTCAATCCAATCCAGGGTAATCTCGGTCATGAGTCCGAAAACACTCTAAAACCCTACAAGCCCCTATCTAATCACAGTTTCCATTTCATTTTGAATATTCTGTTCCATTCGATTCTCCATTTCTGGAGGTAATTATATCCTAAACCCTAGATAGTGGTTAAGTTCCAGCTTTCTTTTCCGTTATCCCTATATACTGTAACCCCTAAAACAGTCCCTCATTTTCATGATCCGACAATATGCCAAGCCTGCGCTTGGCCGTCCATGTCCAAAAGCTTCATGGTCCAGGCGTCGAAGCGGAAAATGTTCAGCCGGGTGCCAGCTGAGCCAGCGTCAATCACCACGCCTGGGCTGCCCGCTTGAAATCAAGGGCACTACTAGACCGGCTGCAATTTGCTGTCCGCAGCATGGCTGCCAGGCATGCACCCTGTCCGTCTGTGACACGTGTGGATGAATGTCCAGAGCAATTTCGTTCGCCATTACGTCACATGACGTAATGACTCCTTGCAACCACGCTGCTGAACGCCGAAGGCCCAAAGCCGCCGGTAAAGAGGCGCAGCACAATAAAGGAGGAGCTCACAAACAGGATGGTAGCAAAACGCCTGCGAGGTCTTCATGTGGGATTGATTTCTACCAAACAGACCTGCTACGATCGCATGTAACCAGGAATTCTCAGAAACCGGCTAGGCAGTGCCTGAGCTCCTGAAACCTCATTTTGGCAATCTTCCAACCTTACGTTCCTTCTGTACTCTCAGCAGCTGAAAATGGCCGGAAGCTGATTACTAAAACAACTGCCAAAAGCTGGAAACGTCTTCGCAGGTCTTGGGACTTGAACCTGGGACATCCCATCATATCTCATCCACCCCGGCTGTAAATTGATACTGCAGGCTCATGCCGGTGTGCACGGTCAAGCACACAAGGGCTCTTCAGCCGAGCTCCAATCCAACATCTCTATCATTTCGAGCATGCACAATCCAGCTTTTTCAATTTGCATTGCCTGGCCAAACAGCCATAGTTCTAAACTTCCTGCCTCCCACGATATTGAGAAAACCTGGGAATTCATTTGCACTTCCCACCCCACCTTTTCCCTCCCACAATTCTTACCTCATCTATCTGCATAGCCTGTCAGCTGCAGTGAACACCTATACGCAACTCTTCTAGAACATTACAGGACCCCCACCTGGAGGATCCGCCGGCCCCGAAACGCTCCGCCGAGACGGAGGCCACGAAGAGCAGAAGCCCAGCCATGTGGTAGCCTGAGACTTAGGGGGTTTCTAAGATTCAGGGTACCTTTTGGGGTCCCTATACCAAGGATTATGATATTTTGCGGTCCATATTGGGGTTTTAGGAAACTACCACTTCGAAAAAAGATGTCAGGATCGTTCGTAGGGACCAATGCTGCCAGGCTGCCATTCCAAGGCTTCCCGAAAACCAGGAAGGATACGCAGATGGTGGTCACCTTTCCTCAATAGAGGAGTAGATGTGAAGAAGCGAGGAAAGCCCTGCTCAGGTCTTGGCAGTGGATCCGAATCTACTCCTAGAAATTTGAAGATGAGACACATCAAGACTTTCGGGCTGGGTTCATGTGGCCGCTTTCTCTCAGAAGTCAAAACAAGGACCAAACTGGTGATCCAATGCAAGCTCTCCAGCTATGTCCTGTAGAGCCCATCTCAATTGCCTCCTGGCTTCGACAGCTTTTCACAATCTCCGAGACGGTGGCCCCGAAGTGCTTGATCAGCAGCCTCGTTTTGAAGATGGGCGGCAGCAGGGTGTGGAACACGCTGGAATCACAACAGCAACTGCAAGCACGCCGTGCGGAAGAGGCGCAACACCCCGCTTTGTGCCACATAGCCGAAAAGGGAGGCCTGCGCTTGAGCCGGTAGCAATGGTGATTATGGTAGGGATGAGATGAAGAAGCATACGCAAAGCTCCTGCAATCGGCAGTTGAGAAGTGCAAGTTGCACATGTTAAGTGCCAATTCGGGACATCTTGCCACAACCCCCGCAAAGGCAAAAGGACCTGGCGTGTCCAAGCAACTTGGAGGGATTTATGCAGCTGAGGCACGAATACAATCATTGGTACCTTGACTCAAGGTTCTGTTGAACACTCAGCCATCGTAGCCTCACATCTGCTCCAGAACTGTTTTGCCTGAGCCTGACCCCCCTTGTCAGATTCAGGGTTGCGGAGACCGTGTCTGGCCACCCTTAAAGCTCCCACGGCGACTATCTACCAAGGAGGAATTTTTGCTAACCCAACAAGTAGCGCCAAGACACTGTCTCCCAGTGGTCCGCAGAATGGCGCACTGCCGAAAGGAGCTCCCCCGTGATCAGCGTGGCTGCGCTGGCCCAAACCTTTTGCGGCTGGGAGCTGCAATGGGCTATAGCCGAGAACATGTGCTAAGGGCCCTTGCAGTCCATGCATGACGTTCATAAATTCGCCCTGAAAAAATGTCATGGCTTGAAGCTTCCTGCCGTGAATGTAGCAAAGGTCCACCTGGGTAGGTAGCAAATCGATCCCTATATACTGCCTTACGCCGAGTTTCCCACAAGTACAGTTCCACGGAAATCAACAAGTGTGCCATGAAACTTTTTTCCGTCTGTTTGAAGCTGAAACCATCCAACTCTATCCCGGGCTTGTCCATCAGCAAACGAATGAGTAGTTAGTTGATCAGAAGCTAGTAGCCTTCGTTGCCACCAATCACTAGAATGGGGAACCTATCTAACAATCTATGGGCTTTAGACCAGAATTCCCAGAGTTATAAACATGGCCAAGCAGCACTGCCTAGGAGATTGCTGAAAAGGACCACCTCATTGGCCGAGCAGCCCATCCTCAAGAGTCTTATGTACTGCGCTGGGGAATCCGTTGCACAGTAAGAATACTAGTTTCCATTTTTATTCTCCATTATCCTTATACAACCGTATAGTATATCCCCAAATTCTCACTCTCGCAAGTAAAATCCTCGACACATTCACAGAAGTAGGGAGCCCGAAGCCAAGCGTCTGAACGAAGAAGCGCTTCTCCTCATAGCTGGCGGCCATGGCATCGGCCAAGGAGCCGATGCAGACGAAAAAGATTCCCACAGGGTCGAAAAGAGCTTTGCCTGCCAAAAGTTGTGCAAATGACGGAACATGAGCCTCAAGAGCCCGGACCCGTCATGGACCCTGCGTACCGCATGTGTAAACCTCTGCATCAGTCTCATTTTGCACATCTCTCCAGCAGCAGTGGGCCTTTCGCATCCCCCAAGGTGAAAACGATCACACCTGCCAGGAGCATGCAGACTTTCAGCCTTACCTACTCCAGAAGCACAGCGGCCGAAGGCTAGTTGCCGTGTTGTTGCCGTGCTTTTGCCAAGGATGCTCGAGCAACAAGCGATGCGAATTCATGAAAGGCAAACGGCTCACGGCGCACGGCCTAAGCAAGGATCCCCTTCTGATAGCCTTGCAGCTTTGTCACCTATAGCTTTAAAACGAAAACAATGCAATCGTATAGAATGGTTATCACAAGGATCTGTGTGCCTGTCGGGGTTATGTAGTGCATCCCTGAGCCTTTATATGTCAATCTAACCGTCAATCCTTGCTCTGCTCTTCAGACTTCAGGCCTGCAGTCAGCAAAATGACTGCGAGGTACTGGGCGAGCGTGTATCGCTTTTTCCTTCGAATCAGGGGTATGGCTTAGAATTGCCTGTTCGGATCTGTTTGGACTTGTAGATGACTTAACGTTGAATGGCCTCACATGCCCAAAGTGTTGGCACTGAGGAACGTTCACAAAGTGCATCCAAAGAGCAAGTACAACACGCTCAGCAACATCACTGGGATGAGCTTGCTCGATTTGAACACAACTCTGAGCGGGTAGCTGAGGTAATGCAAACCTGAGCTAGCTCAACTTCATGCGAGCGTCGCTCAGAAATCGTGATGTGGCCTCCGAAATCCGTTGCGTCTTTGCACGAAAAAATCCGAGCCTTCTGGAGTAGAGAATTTCTTCAACAGGATGCAATGAAAGGCAACACATGACGTTGGACGTCCTCAAAGGTTTTCGGCCAGGCTGCTGAAGTTCGTGCAGTACATCCCGCCCATGGTCAGGAATGACAGCTTCAGGTAGTCTGCGCCGGAACCGTGCCGTTGCCTCTGGATCAGTTGTCCGTCAAGCCCAACACTCTCACTACCAAATTGGAATGATTTCGCCCTAGGGCTGGATTCGGTCCTGGACAGGCATGTCACGAGACATGATGAAAGTGATCATGACCAGCCTGCCCAAGAGGATGAGGAAGGGTGGCGGTTTTAATATGAATCAGGACTCGGAGAAGAGCTTCTATCTCCTGGCAGCAAGTGCAGCCAGGGAGCTTGCCTCAAATTAGGGTTCCCAAGTGGAACGTATTTGCATAGGCAACTATGCTGTAATGAGATGGACATGGGAAATCCCACGCAATCATGTCTCGTAAGCCCGCGGACCAATACTAGAAGAGCAGAAGTGAGCATACGGATTTATGATGTCTCATGAATGAAATTCTTATAAGAACTCTTACCCTCAACTCCAAATCGCAAGCATCCCAAAACTCTCAAAAACCCCTCAACATCCTTAATCCCCCTGAGCTTAAATCAAAGCCAGAAAAGCATGACAAGGCCTGCCCATTCCTGACCCGAGAAAAAACCCTACAGGTGTATATGTTGGTTTAAATAGAGGTTTTATAAGGATAATGGAAAAGAAAATGGAAACTGCCATAATATAAGAGGATTGTATTCAGGTTATATCAGGGATAGTGGAAAATGACATGGAAACTACTATTTAGGGTTTGCGGTATAGGGTTTAGAGAGTCTAGAGGGCTGTAGGGTTTGTAGAGGAAGGAATCAAAAGCACATTGGGCCAGGATTTGGATTTTGGCTTACGGCTCGGAGGTTCAGGGTTCATTTTCAAGGGCTATTGGTGTGCAATTCTGCTGAAAAATTACAAGCCCCGAAACATCCTCAAACCCGGACGATCAAATCCTTCAAGTGCTCTCCATACACCACGTGTCGCCCGACAAACACACCCCCGACACTGCACAAATGCCTCCATCAAGCGGAGATGTAGCTTATTCCATAGTCGCTACGTTTTCCGCCTCGCATACCTAGCCTCCGAATAGAAATATATGCGACGGTATGTTTCGTGCTAACAGCCCGGTGTAAAACCTAAAGATGCACCATGCTTGCAACGCACCCTTTGCATCCCTTTGCCATCCGTGGTGAACTCCGATAAGACTGCCCTACAGCCGCTGCATCCGAGTTGCCGGTCGGCTTCGCATCGCCGCTCCACGAGGGACAAGCCGGTGTAAGACAAGGACGTTATGAGGGCCAACCATCCTCTTGGCGACGAGATATTGTATTAAGCCATCGTTTTGTGTGCTTGCGCTCATTTTCTGATGATAACCAGCTTACAAAAACAATCCCAGGTCTATGGGAGGTACATTGTGCGAATCACATCAGCATTCGTCAAAACTTTGGTCTGGTAGGACTCGTTTTGAAGACCTTCACTGCTCCCAGTGTACTTAGCACAACAACATCTGTGTAGAGCAAGAGGCCGCTCTCTCTTCTTTCTGGGTTGCTTCAAGGCTGTGCTCAGGGCAAGAGGGGCATGGAAAGGAAGATAGCCGACACCTTCTTTTAGGGCCCCTCCCGTTTGTGGAACGTTCATGGACAAGGCCTTATGTCCTTAAGTTAGAAAGGTGTTTAAATAGCAAGGCCTGCCAGGCTCGCGAGCCTGACAAGCAAGGGCCAGTACTGGTTTCATCGCATCATTGATTCCCTCTCGTTTTGCTTGGGGTGTAACGTGGATGGTGCGAGTCATGTCCATTCTCCACATGACATCATCGCCCACTCATTCATGACTAACATGGGCAAGGGCCTTGGTGCTACGAAAAGACTCTCGACTGAGCTCGAACCCTGAACACCCCCAAGCTCCTGTGTAGCGGAAGCCGGGCACATACAACACGCGCTCTTGCAGACCCGCCAGGCAAAGACTGCAAGACAACACCTCGGAGCTCAGATGCCCAGCGGGACTCCCACTGCGCAATTCTCGAGGGCACTGCTTACTTGGTGTCAGCTGGCATAGCCGGAGGTGGCATCCAAGCGCTTAAGGCTAGAAGTCTTAGATGGTAGCCGACACCTGGCTCAAAGATGGCGCGCGTCTGGATTTTGAATGCTTCTGAAACACACTGGGCATGAGTATTGGATCCTACAGTACATGAGCATACGAGAGCTATGCAAGCAGATTGTCACTTCTTGAAGACTCCTGAACCCCCTGGATCCAGGCCGAGGAACGATGCCTGCGAGCAGAAAAAGCTGGCTGAGGCTGGCTGAGCAAACGCGATGAAGTGGAAGCCCGAGCAGCCACAGGCGCAGCTCCCTGCAGCCACAAGGTAAGGGGACTCTGGAGGATCGGGTTTTCATGTTTCAATGGGCGCTCTAAGCTCTGGGGATCTCCGTATGCAGCAATGGCACGAGTGATTCGGGGTGTGGAGTACTGCAACACTCAGCCCAGGAGGTACCGTTCAAGAAAAGCGCCCCACTGTGCGTGCTGTTGTTCGTGCAAAATCCCGGAATGATGAAAAAGAATCTTTCTACCTGCCAAGCAAAGCGAAAGTTGTGAAGATATTCCGCAAGCCAGCTAGAGCTGTCGAGCACAATGACACCAGTACTGTCACATGTCCAGGTAACGCAAAGAGCTGGGTGCTTCTAGCAAGCTGGAGGTGCCCTTCATTCATCGTCCTTTTGGTGAGCCGCAGATGTCTCCCTGTGTCCGCGATAGCTCCATTCGCACTTCTGTGGTGGCCGCCGAGCAACTGTACAGTCAAGGGCAGACACGCTGATCCTGATTACTGCTTGCGGCACTAAGCATCGCAAGCTTAAAGCTTTTTAGGCGTAGGGGCATTTTAGGCGTAGGGGCATTGGTTCACACTCCTGCCACCTTCGGGTGCGCAGGAATGAACCAGCCAGAGTGCGGCAGATTTTTTGCCTCAGCCAGCAAAGGCGAAGTATAGCAAACATGGAAGTAGGACGGAATAGCTGTATGTGAAATGTGCGGACGTGTAGTTCAGGCGACGTGCACCAGTTGATACGACTCATGGCAAGACTGGTTAGAGGAGCATACTAGTAGAAAAAGGAAGTTGGAGTAGTTGTAACACATTTCGTTGCTGGAAACTTCATGTCGATCAACCACTTACGAAGGAAAGGCTCACAGTTTTGGCTGGCCATGGACAACCTGCCTTCATCAGTTCTGGAGGAATGCCTAGACCTTCAAGAAGCAGTGGCCGAGCTGCATGTCTTCACTCATCTCCGTCCAGCAGCCCAAAGATCGCCTCCTGCACGTTACCACCTGAGCAGCTCTGTAATGTAAACTTGGCCGTGGAGGTTTATTGTTTAGGGAGTCGGTGAATTGCTTTCTTGAGCATGCTCAATGCATGAGCATGCAACGCAGGAGGCTGAGACATATTCGAGCCACCAATCCCATCCATGCTGGGGAAACTCAGAGCCAGAGCACAATGTGATATGTTGACACCTTGCATCAATAGAACAAAAGCTTGGGCGGCTGCCCGCGTGTTCCAGCGCGGTCCTTGGCCACACCGGAAACAAAGCTGCAGTCTCGCCTCCTGAAAGAATTGCCTCACAAATTCTGCACCTGTGCTTGACTCCGAGTACATTGTGAGGTAACAATGTATCTGAACCACTGGTGCGACTTGCAAACCCAGCTGTTTCCCAGCATTCTACTACACAAATGTTACAAATCCATGAGGAACCTTTTGGGGTTCGGCCCGCCTTCGTGCAGGACACAGCACACCAGAAGTTGAACATCCGCATTTATGGCAGTCATCATTGACAAGGCTCAAGGCTTGATGCTCCTCGAAACCCATGGAGACCATCGTCTGAAGCGCTTCCTCAACGGGCCGGGTCACAGTAAGAAAGGTAATCGAAATATCGCCCCCAGCTTCACTTTGTTTCAGAAGCCGCGCCGTATAGATCCATCTTTGCGCGATGCAGGCTGTAAATTTATGGCAGCGGGATGTTGGGGGAAGCCTGTACATAGTTTGCCTGGCGTTTCCGGTTGTTTCTGCCATTTCTGGGGCGGGGTTGGGGGGGAGGTTCGTGTTCCAAGAGCATACGGTAACATACGGTAACCAGTGCATCCATGCCCAATCCATAATCCCATTAACGTGTATCAAGAGCATAGGGTGACCAGTGCATCCATGCCCAACCATAATCCTGTTCGTGTATCAGCAGCATACGGTGTATCAAGAGCGAATGGTGACCAGTGCACCCATGCCCAAACCATAATCCTGTTCGTGTATCATGAGCATACGGTGACCAGTGCATCCATGCCCACGAAAAGTTGGCCAGCATGGTCAAGCGACAGAAGCGTGCTAACCTGGAATTATATCACGTGAGTCATGCCAAAAATGAATTCGCGCGGAAGGTGAAACGCCGCAAGGTTCCTCAGTGTGTTGTTGCGGGAACGCGATGCATCGACAGGTTCCGGCAAACGCTCGAAGCGCATGTCCCCCACTCCTTGCACAGCAAAGAAGGTCCAGGCAAGGGTCTCTCCTACCCTCCTGGACTATGTGCACTCCTTCCTCTGGCGGTACACTGCCTGAGGATGTCAACATGATGAAGCCTCTTGGAGCCATCTGCTGAAAAAAGTTTCGAAGGCGTGCTTTGCCCAAACTACCTTCTGGGTTCCCAAGGCCTCCTAAGAGTCATGTGTTCGAAATACTGCCAGGCGCAGTGTTTTCCAGCCTTCGTATGCTCAAACGCACTAGTTTCCGGCGATTATGCTTTTGGCCAGCCAGACCATGAATCCCCTGCAAAAACCAATACTTCGCGAGAGTGCCCCGAAGGTCCAGGAGCCCGAAACCACCAGGCAAACTACGAACACGCAACCATGTGGGGATGAAGCATGACAGGTGCCAGTAGGATGCTACCAGAAAGTAAGCAGTGTGTGGGCAAAAACGCTGATAAGTGCAGTATTGGCCGGTCCGAAAAGAGTCCACATGGCATATGCAGCCAAGGGACGAAGCTTCGATACTACCTTACCTTCGGGCATCTCTATGTGGACGATCAGCTTGGCCGTGCCAGTAAAATCTTCATGCAGTTAAAAGGGAGCGTGCCAAGCGCCTTGATATGTCTAGTCACTAGATTTTGCTTGCGGCTTTGTCGTCGGCGTTGCTTACCGCTGCGTGTGTAGCCAGCATCTGAGTCCTGAAGTTTATTTCGCGCAGTTGTTTTCTCACAGCTGCCAACACCCTTACACGCTGGATTTCTGTACTACATGTGTAAAGAAGCAACCAATATATTTTGCTAGTCACAGGTCTCACGCGCTTGCTCCGGTGTTTAAGTACATGCATCAGGTTATAGAATACGACAGACAGCCAGCAAATGTGACGGCCTTTGTATCAACCAAAACTATGCTGCGCACTGCGAATAGCAACCAAGCGGCAGATCGGCTGCCTGGCATGGGAGTGGCGTTTCTTGCCAGTGATGGCGAAGGAGGCGGACGCGATTGAGGCGGAGGGTTGTTTGCCTGTGCGCTGCTTGCTGCTGGAGCCTCTTCACGTGTCTCCATGATGTCAGAAGCTGCCAAGAGTTCCGCTGCAAGCTCCAACTTGCCACCTAAGCCAAGCTCCAAGCAAAGCAGCACAAGCACAAGTGCTTCAAGATGCTACCTGGATCGAATGTTCAAGCTCACTGTTTCTTGCAAAATCCGCTCAAGGAAGATTAGCCGTAGAGCTCTGAAGCTTCAGCTGGGCTCAGTTGAATGAAAACACCCTCGACAAGCCTCTACAATGTGTTTCCGGGGCCGCTCGAAAAGTTCCAGGCATCTGTCTGTTAAGCTTTTTTTTCCCCGGCCTAGCTACGGTTCTAGTAGAATCAAGGCTTTAAAAAAAAACCCAGAAACATGACAAGTGAGGGAGCGTTACAAAGGAGGCCCATTTCTGATGCCCTGCTTCCCTCAATTTTCGCAAAGGAGAGGGGAGGCAGGCCCCCTACCCTGAACAGGGTGCAACATTATTCCATGATGGATAGCCGCCCCAGAATGTGCCAATACACCGATATAAGCCCTGGGAAATACAGTAATCGTGCACTAGACCTTGGGTCATGCAGAATTCTGTTCCCAACTAATAATATCCCCCTACTAACCCTATAGTACGCCTTATATAATCCCCTATATAACCCTCTTTCAGGAGTTTAGACCCTAAACCCTAAATAATAGCATCATGTAGCTTCCCTATGACCCCTATATTCCCCTGGAGTTGAGACCATAATACAACACTGCGAGGAAGCCACCAGCATCTTGCAGCGCAATCCTGAGTCACGCATGTTGCCCTTTTTTCGCGAAGACATCTTGTTTCGGAATAACCCGCTCCTCTCAATATTAAACCCCACCCCCCCTAATATTAAATACTATCAATATATACAAATGGGGAGTATTTAATATTGGGGGGGGGGCGGGGGGGGTTCATTCTATGGGGAGATGATTATTGAAGTTTTCGAAACTCAGTGTCCCCGCTGTGGGTCTTGATGGAACTTTCATATTTGGGGTATGCTTTCTGGACCATCAACTGTGAATGCATGGGATACCATGACGATTTCCAGCTGCTACCCTGTTGGCTACGCAAATCAAGCAGAACAAAGGATAATTGAGTGACCACAGCCAAGGCACATTGCTTGCCGTTTTTCATAGCCCATCTGGAGCAGAGTGGACAAGGCGCTCCCGTCCGTCCCATTGTCGGATTGATGACTGGCAGCAGGCGGGGCGGACGAGGCAGACGCGCCGCTGGTGGCCGTTCTGGGTGGAGCAGCTGATGAAGTGGCCTTCCGGTGCAGAATCTGAAGCTTTCCGCAAAACCCACAGCTACAGTTCACAACCCGCTGAAGCCGGTTGCATCTTGGATGCCAGCCTCAGCTTGCTCCGAGTCCAGCATGGCAATAGTAGCGTCCAAGTCTCCACCTGAGCAGCACAAAGCCACATGACGAGCACGCATAAGGGTTGCCAGGCCGTACGTGTCTGCGTCCGTACCTTTGTCATGGATTTATTTCAAGCCCTTGTCGCGGAATGTTACGCATCAAAAGGGTTTGCCGCGTAGCGTCTCTCGTAAGGCTATCCCAGCTTGGGATCAGTGATGATGGCCCAATGCTTTATGGACGCAAATGGCGTGAAGCGGGGGGAGGGGCCTTTTCCTAGTCCCGACCCGACTAGAACAAGCTTGTTCCGGACTTATCTAGAGAATCTATCTAGAAGCTATCCTCAAAGGGCCGTGGTTCTGGGACTCCCCCCGGTGTGACGAATCCCTACTGAGAATTGCGATAGAAAGGGGTGAACGGGAATCCATCCAGCTTGAGAAATTGTATCCTGCTGGTCTCGTGCACGCCGAGGTACACTTTATATGATACTTGAACTGGCAAAGCACTACTTCTCAAGCAACCTCAGCACACAGAAGCACCATCTTTTGAGTATGTGCGCGAGAGCGTGACTACAACTAGAACATCCATCTCATTGCAGATGTGAAGAAATGTGTCACTTGGTCTCATGGAAAATGGTCTAACTCGCTGTAGTAATCACCAAACTCCTGCGAGCACTCGTCCTGTGGTTGGAATGCCTATCGCACACCCTGAAGCTGGAAAAGCGTGGCACCGGCAATATCCTGCAGCCGGCAGTAGTGTTTTTGAAGTGATGTCTCTGTGCTGTCAGTCATCATTGCTGTGACACGGACGGCCAACACACATTCAAGATCGACCCCCCTGTATGTGGATTTGGTCTACTACTGTACAAACGGATGTGTTTAGTGAACACTTTCTTGCACAAGCTTGCGAACGGCAGAAACTGCTCTTTGAGCAATCTACAGATCAAAGATTGCTTGTGCGCAGCTTACGAATCAACACTTTGTATTGGGCTGCCTACAGGTTAGAACTTTGTGTTGGGCAGTCTACGAGTCAAAAAATGCATTGGTCAGTCTACACGTGGGAACTTTTTTGCGGGCTGTAAACTAGTCAGAACTTTGTACTTGGCCAGTCTACAGGTCAAAACTCGTGTTTGTGGGCAAGCTACAATTTGAAAAGTCATAATTTTGCATTGGGCAGGCTACGGGTCAGAACTTCTTAGTGGGCTGTACGCGGGTGAAAATTCGGTATCAGGCGGTGTACATGTGAGAATTTGTCTCTGGGCAGTCTATACAGTATACAGTGCATCCCCTCATCCAGGCCCCGGACCCAGACCCTGAACAAACCCTGGCCCTGGATCTGGACCCTGACCTTCCTCTAAAAGCCTCGAGCATCGCCCTTCTCCAAAACCTTGAGCTTGGGAGTTGTAGGATCCCCCTGTTTGGAATGCTCTAGGCTTGGACTTAAACTCAAGATGACACCATGGTCTCAGTATGGCATGTCGAGGGCCCAGCCCAACAATTTCGTAGCTTGGGGCTTCATGCACGGACGGAATTCTAGTTGATACTGAACAAACAAGCCCCATCCTGCGTCTGAGTGCTAGGCGACATCTATAAAAGGCGTTCCTTGGTCTTGTTGCCAGGCTACTCTCTTTCATTTTAAAGAAGCCTGCCAAGCGATGCGGATTAAGGTTAAGCAGGGTCTCATTGCTTCGTTTGCGTCATAGCCCATGGAAAGGAAGAAGTTGAGGGCATCCTTGGCAAAGGAGGCAATCAAATCCAAGTGATCACCTGCTTCCCACCTCACTGCGCCACCAAAAGCTACAGGCCCAAACAACCTGCAGCTTACATACAACCCACCAATAGCTTGCTTAAAGCTGCAACATAGCCATTAGAAAGACTCTTTGGAAAGCGGCTAGCAAACACGCGGCACGAAGCAACCAGGAAGCGCAGTCAATCGACATGTCAAGGATACTTTTGAGGAGTAGCTCGCCGAGCGTCCTAGCTCTAGAGGATCCCAGTACAGCACTTCGTGTTTCCGCACCATACCCTGAAGCTTCGCGTTCAACAGATCTGGAAGTCCTCTCTACGAGGCGACTGGCCAAAAACTACCATAGGATTGCCTCAAAGGGAAGAGAGTTGCCCTAGCTTTTCTGACAAAAGTGACAGAGCTGAAAAAGAAAGAGCTGAAAGCTTATCACCTAAGTCTCACAGTTCGGGATCCCCTCTCCTACCCTCGGGCCATACACCCTAAAGATTTCGGCGAGTGGCAGGTTTTTCTTTCCGGGCGGGTGCGCTGCTTGGGGCCGCTAGTTGCTGTGGGCTCTCTCGTGGAGGGCTGCGTGGAGCCAGAGCCGGCGCAGATGCCTAGAAGGAAACAAGGAAAGATCTGTGGTGCTGGTAGATTCTAGCAGCTCCGCTCCTGAGTCTTCCGATTCTTGTAACTTTTTTTTAAAATGGATTTTGGGGAGGAGGGATCCTCATGAGAACCCCAAGAAGGTATCAAATTGGAAAGTCTAGACCGGGAACAATAGAGCCATACAGAGCCAGTGTGCGAGGCCCACTTCAGACCTGAAGTCATGGTGCCCATTATCGCTATAAGCATTTTCTCAAAGTCTTGCTCTCCATGTGCCGCTCCTGCTCTCGGTGCATGGCGAGGATGAGGGAAATCAAACTTGAACCATCATGTTTGATCAGTTTAATTCTCTCTGATTAAACGACCCAAGCACCCCGCGAATTTGTGAGCAAGTATAAGAAACATAGCATGCCCGTTGGAGCGTAATCTGCAAGACAGCTTCCGGCAGCATCCCCTGGCTGTCAAACTGCGGGGGAAGCAGGTTCAGTACGCTGCTTCATTACACTGCGCTATACCAAACTAAGCTTCGTGCAATGTACCGTGAAATTTTCATAATTGCAGCACCCGCGCGTTTCAAACACACGAGTGCTGCAAATACGTAGCCCAGGAATGTCTGCACTTCCATGTGCTCTCGGGCTCTGGGAGCCCGGGCGGTTTGCCCACGTTCTGCGCTGTCGGCTTCTGTGGTCGGGACCTGGCCACCTGCTGCGAGCTAGGCCGCCGCGGAGGGGACGCAAAGCCAAACAAACTGACGGAAAATCTGAGACTTCTGGGGGTCCCTACAATAAGGACCGTAGTATTACGGGGTCGAGATTGTAGTAGCCCTGTTTAGGGCTGTTATCACTTGCATGCTGATGGTCTAGTTGTTTGTTGGAAATTTGTCAACTTCAGACTGCAAAGATTTGAAAGTTGGCGTGACGCGGAACACGCCCATGACGTTTTGAAGCGACCAATGTCAATGGCATGCAAGCCTATGCATGACTTGTGTCTCACATGTTGGAACGGTCTCCACTCTGCAACCTTCCATTTCAGGGCAGTCTGCTGCTGCATCCGCGATTGGCATTGGCACGTCGCCTTCGGATGGAATTTCCTGCAGGCCCCCCTACGGCAACCATCAGCTCGTACTACAACATGTTGCACATCCAAGTCAACCTTTGTCACAGCTACCTATCCAGCGCCGTCAGCTCATTCCACTTTGAGTGTTACGGGCTCCTCCCAAACACTGCTCTCGCTGTCTGAGTCGGAGGATGACGAGGAGCTAGAGCTAGTGCTAGAAGATGACCTTGCTGGCATCTTTCGAGATTTTTGTCGCCAAATGTCCACAGATCTATCCCAAAAGAATTCACTTCACTTTGCACGAGCCCACAACGCTTGGAAACGCCATGCGAAAAGCGCCTGCAGGGGGTAGTAACATGTTTTACAGATGGCAGCAAGCCATCGTGGAGCAGTTCTTGCCAGCTTGTGGCTGGGATTTGACGACTAACCTTTGTTGTAGGCCTGATGTACCTACAAGGCCTATCTCAGCCACACTTCAGTTTCCAAGGCCGCCATAAACAGCTTGCACAGCTTCACAAAGAAAAATCTGCTAACCCAACATATTTGATCATCACGCACATTCCACCTGTGAGTCCTTTAACAAATGCAGGTCAGGAGCTTGTCTTCCATGGGAGCCGGGTTGTTGGCATCCCCTTCCTCAAGACTGATGAAAACAATTCGAGATGAGGTCAAGTAACTTGGTGCTCTAGGGGGGGCCGAAGGGAACCCAGTAGGGCAGGCCTCATGCCCACACCTTCTGTCACAAATGCAGTGCCCAATAAACGTATGCAAGAGCAGCTCCAGAGATTCAGCAAAATGTCATATCACAGAACGGTGTGTTGAAGAGATGCCTGAACTGTTGCTCATTCTGCGATGATATATTCCTGTACTGGCGGGATGTCTGCGCACTTTCTAAAGGCTGTCAGTATGGAATCTCCTCTGTATCTCAAACTTGCACAGGTTTAGGGTTTCTATAGGGATATTGCCCCAATAATGGAGAATCACACTGAAAAGAACATGGAAGCTGAATTGGAAGCCACTGTACATAGTATTATAACTAAACCCCGAACCCCATATACAGTATATAGGGATTATATGACTCAAGCAGGGAATGAGGTGGAAGCCACATCAGCCGGGGCTCTTCCGGTGGGGCGCTGCTCTTGCGCCGAAGCTTCGGCCTCTGGCCCACTGCTTTGGCTTCTGTGAATTCTGAAGTTGGGAAAGACTCAGCTGACGTGATGTTACACCTACTGCATCTGGAATCTTGAGATGTTATGCTACACTTCTACACAGTTGGAGCTAGTTTCTCTTAAGTCCAAGGATTCTTGTCACAATTTCAGCGTAGAGCCTCCGGAAACACAAGTCTACCCTGCGGACACAACAAACTCGAGCATTAGATTTCAATAGGCTCACCCCTAATTGCCCGCGGGTTTTCTGCAGAACCTCCCTTGCCAGTGCTACAGTACTTACATCTGCGAAGAGGGGAGTGAACATGCGCCACATTACCTTCCCCGTAGTGCTCACAGAATGCCTTCAGTGGTACAGAACCTGTACACCCCTCCAGGTATAAGCCCAACACCTCAAACCCTAAAACTATCCCATTCTCTGAACAACCTGCAGCCCTTGGATGAACGAGGCCTTTCAGAGCCATCGGGCTGCCCTCCCATTAGTTCCCTCTTGTTCTTCGGGGCAGCGGTGAGATGGACCTGTCGGACCAAGGACGCCAGTGTTGATGCTTGAGCATATTTGGATCCAAAGGGTAGAGAGGCCCCAGCTTGAGCATAGCCACCTGGTCATGTTGAGCTGAAGATCTTTGGAGCTGAGGTTTTGGGATTCAGGCCTGGGAAAACATGCTGAAGCTGACTCAAGCTTGCGTGGTTTGGGCCTGCTCGACTTGGCAAGTTCTGCATCCTGCGTTTCTCTTGAATCGTGCCCGCTAGTGAATGTCATTGCACATGTTGCTGCACTTTCAAACAGTGTTGCGCGGGGGGGGGGGGGGGGATGTAGCAAAACAAGGTCCTACCTTTCTGATTAGAGCAGCTTTGCTTCATTGCTTGTTGCCTGTGTCCGTTGCTCTCTACTAATTCTGATATTGCATCTTCAGGGTCGATGCCTCCTCGCGAAAGTACTTCTGGCGCTCCATCTCGCGCTGGATGCGCAGAGCCTGCGATCAAATGAGCGTGCATGACAAGATGCTGGTTTCTCGGGATCCTACAAATCGGGATGCTGCCATCTGGGGGTGGTAGCAGATTGTGGCCTGAAGTGGGAAGGCAGGCTTGAAATTCGTCAGCTCGGAACTCTAAAGCTTCTGAAGCCACTCAGAACTGGGAAAGCTGGTGCGAGGACATCAAGAAGAAGTAGGACCACTGGAATGACAAAACGAAGAAACTATTCAAAACCGCCTTGCACTTTCAGAAAGAAGCCTTCTTTCCGCTTAGCAGACAGTGGCCGCAATGGTCCCCAAAACCCAAAGCGCCAAACCTCCTTGCATGCATGTGCACCAAATCAATAGAATTTCAAAAAAAACGGGTCCACAGTAAACACTGAAGATGTTGAGAAGCCACCAGGTAACCCTGCAACGTGCCCATGTCACAGCTACAATGCCTGTATGCAAGCACATTTTTAGATTGCCCGTATCTCATTCCTGTATGACATTTCTAAGACATAGGTCCCCCTGAGGACCTCCAACATAGAGAAACCACATTACAACTTGTCCCTAAACGAGCTAAAGCCGATATCGCCTCAGGGGCCAGCTCCTCACCAGAGAGCCCGGCTAACTGCGCGGGAGAGAGAGACCCATCCACGACCTGTGGGGAGGTGGAGTTTAAGGCAGTTGGTGTGCAGGTGACGGGTGGGCGATGAGAGGCTCAAAAAGTTTTGGGTTCAGGTTCCGATCTGGATTGAAAGCAGCAATTCTGGCCGCGTACCCAAGGTTGAAACAGCTATTGTGGGATTCAAAAGGGCTGGTCCAAGGTCAAAGCCCTTTGACACATGGCTCGTTAAAGTCTAGATTCTTCTAAATGCGAATGATTGGACGGCCTGTCCGAAGTATAGCGGGAGTTCTAAACTTGCAGCCCCTGGCATCCTGCTGGTTTGTTTGTGCATGGGTGCATCTTCAATCTAGGCGCCAGAAACACCGACGTAACATGATTCTTGCAAGCTGTCGCGGACACTGTGCCTGCAAAATGCTGACGCGCA